TACTTAATTAGTGTTGTAATCACTAATTAGATGTATACATATATCTTTATATGTTAATAGGATCATTGCGTGTGTTTAAGTCTTCACTTGACACCTAGCACATTATCCAACACTTTCAGTCAAACTGCTAATTACAGGTGAGTTCATACCCTGTAATGAATCTTTTAAACTGTTTTAAATGCTTTTAGGGGGGATACAAGTTGAATATCATAGTTATTATATGAATCACATGTGATTAATAACTATCAAACATATGGATTTACTATATGTTCGAAATGTTTTATCAAACAAACTACTTTTAAATCGATTTATAAACTGACATCAAGTCATTATTATTTATTGTTTCAAACCCTTTAAATGTATTACAAAACCTCTTCTAAACATATATATTGCTAAAACCATATCTATACACTTATGTAGTAGGTATATATATATATATATATATATATATATATATATATATATATGTATTGATATGAAAGTTGTTACTTCATTTCCAACACTTTTGTGTAGCAAAGGTGTATAAACATACTTGGACATTTCAAACCACATTACTAGTAAACTATAATAGGTATAGTTTAGGATATACTATTTACTATTCCTAGTACAAGTAATCATACATGAGTCAGTTCATTCATGAGTCTATACAAAGAGAACATGCAATGCAAGGAGACTACTACATACTACATGGGACTGACCATCCTACACCCAGTTGTTAGCTACAGTGGGAAACTTCACATCGACGGATGTCCTCGGTTGTACTGTTTGGCGATTTACCGCATCATGTTTATCCTAGACAAATGGATACTATTTCTTATTACCTTTATTTTATGACACATTCACATAAACGATGAGGTGGAATATATTTTGATACGATTTCAATGATTATATAATTTTCCCTATTATCTTTACTTTGTGACACATTCACATAAACGATGAGGTAAACAATATTTTGATAATAATAGTTGTACTTGGAAAACCTTCATTTTTACAGAGAAGCAAACCTTCTAAACAGTCGGGTCTTGGTAGAAGACTACATTTTATACTAGTAGGAAATATGGGATTTTCTAGGGTTTTCAAACATATACAAACATTTACATTGAACATTTACAAGTCTTTTCATCAAACTTATTCAATGACACTAAAGTACTTATGAATTCACCAGCTTAAATGTTGATCTACGCTTTCAAAATAACTTGTATTCTCAGGTCACAAGTAGACAGGTGCGATTACCAGGTTTTGAGAAGACGGAGCAATCAAGATTCGTCTTTTATTTTGATTATATATTTTGGTGTCCTATAACTATGAAAAGAACACACATGTATTAGACTTTACTATTAATGCAATGGATGATGTTGTTGCTTGTATTACTACTTTGCATTGTGATGATACTATACATGATGTCCTCCGCCCCCGAACATTTCCGCCGTTCTGGTTTTGGGGTGTGACACCAGGCCAGCCAACGAACCTGACCTAGTAACATACATGGAAACGATATCGAGCAAATATAGCAAGAATCACCCTACTCCCGTACACAACCTATGAATCATCCCTAGGAAACACGAAAAAGGCAAACCTGGTTTATTAATAAAGAGTCTTACCCTTGCGACCTAAAGACCAACGCAAAACCCATAAGAAGAGACCATGAATTGGTTCGATTACTAGCTATAAAACAAGGTTCCACCCAATCCAAGTGAGGCAAGCATACCCTTTTCAATTCTATCCAACCCATCTCCATGCCCTAAATATGACACCTAACTTAGGCATAAAAGAAATATATCGGGGTTCCACCCACGGTATGGCTTTCTAACCTACCTTTATCAAATTTTTGCAATGTGTTGTCATGACTACTCATTGGAAGAAGTATGCAATGGGATAGCCATACATGCATCAAGGATTCCACGTAGTAACATTGGTGCCATCCGTATATAACCATGCAAGAAAATCAACAAACAAGTCGTCCCACTAATGATACGCCTTTCAACCCAATCAACTTAATCCCTACTTTTACACCAACAATAACAATGGTTCCAGTCACCGATCCAACACACACACTTCTTGCTTAACCAAATCAACACCGTGAGATGGAAGCTAACGAGCAAACAACAGGAAAAGCCAAAAAAATCTAGGCAAGCAACCTCAACCACGATGGAAGCAGTCAGTGGTTCAAGTGCAACATGAGGAAATACATCTAGAGGACCCACAAGACCTACCACAAAACATAACAATGCCACGATGCTAGAATTGTCGCCATTATTGCAAAAACACCTTACGAATACCATGACAAATCACCAAAACATGCAACCATACATGTCACTACCATTACCATTCCCATATGCACACTACTAATCATATTGGTCATCTCAATATCAGCAAACATACAACCTGCAACCCACTTCAGGAGGACAACTAGTGCCTCAACAACAATAAGCCACACAACTCGTGCACAATAAACACAACGGTGCAAATGGAGACGCAAACACTAAACATGTCCTAAGTTCAGATAATTCACCGTTAGTAAGAAGTATAAAGGAATACCAACTACCAACCGGAATAAATATACCATAGATCACAAAATACGATGGAACGGGAGATTTAGATGACTATATAGAAAATTATAAATGGGCAATGTATGCCTACTACCTAGATGAAAATTATTGGTGTATTTTCTTCCCGACCACCTTATCCGGAGCAACCCGGTTATGGTATAAAAATTTATTGGCAGAAAGCATACACAATTTCAACCAACTGTGATAGGAATTTATGGGACATTTTATACAACAAAGGTGGTGCACGACAGATGCACAAACCATCCTGGATGTTGACAACGAGAGGAGGAATCTCTAAGTTCTTTCGTATGCCGATTCAATAAAGCCATACTTAATATGCCGGAGAAAGCAGATAACATGGTAATGGCCACTTTCACATTCGGTTTGCATCCTGGGACTTTGTTTAAATAATTCGCAGGAAAACAACCATCTTCCAGAAAAGAAATGATGGAAAGAGTCCACCGGTACATGAACTAGGAAGACGTAGCATCTGAAAAATTCAAAACCGACCAGGGCAAAAAAGCAACCCAAGCACCTCATGCTAGAGGAAATGCATTAGAACATGCAAAACACCAAATCGTGAAAACAAACTTGTTTCAACCGCTTCTCACATCCGAACCGCAACACGCCAACATCTCGACATAGCCCTCAAAATGACATAGTTGCAATAAATGAGAGCAGAAAGAACACAAGAAACAAGAACGGATAAAAGATAATAAACAAAGATCAAGGGCGATATTACGAGTTACATGAGTCCACAAATCATGACACCATCGAATGCACCATTTTACAGCATGAACTAGAGAACAAGATGCAGATAGGACAACTCATTGATATGATCAAGAGCCTTTGATCAAAGTACTTAGAAAGCATTGCACCAATAGAGCTGAAGGTAACGAACACAAGAAAAAAATGAGATATTCATGATAGTACATACTGATTGATAGGAGCTAACTGGTGACTCGGAAAATTGCACTTCACGTTTGACGAGTGGGATTAGAGTCATGATCATCATAGAGGAGACAAACCAATTATAATTGGCGGATTAATGGGAAGAATCTATGTAAGTGATATTTAGTGGAAGTTCTACAAATGTTATGTGCAAGCACTTCTTCAAGCAATTACCCAGGTACGTGCAAGTGAAAGTGGAACCATCGGAGAATCACCTAATAAGCTTCGTCGGCCACAACGTATGGATAGAGGGAACAATCACACAACCACTAACTGTTATCAATTATCACAATAGGAGGAATAATACAAAACTCATATGTTTCGTTATCATAAATGCATATGCACCATATGATAACATCTTTGGGAGGACGACAATGCACAATTTCAGAGCCATAGTGTCCACGATTTACAGAGTAGTCAAGTTCCAAGCAATGTATGGGATCAGAACGATGTATACCAAAAGGAAATTAGGACAAGAAGAAAAACATGGGGATGCACAAAACATGAACAATAATTTTGGTCGATCCAAAATCAGTGGGGGTAACAAGATGTTGTTGGAGAAAAAAATGAGGAACAACAATCGGAACACATTGGAAAACGAGCGAGGGCCAACCCAGGAGGAAATAAAAGAAGATGGATGCTTAAAGTTTGCAAAATGTGATAGTTTTTTTTTATAAAGTGCTTATGACTTATTCATTTAAATAAGATTGTTTTATCGTAAAAATCCTTAGGCTTGTCAAAATGTGATATTTTTTTTTTCTCTGCAATGATTTTAAGCGTGTTATGCCTAAAGTTTGCAAGTTATTATTATTATTATTATTATTATTATTATTATTATTATTCAATTTTACCCTTAGGTTTAAACTTTGAAAAAAAACATTCATTGTGAAAACAAAATTGCAAACAAAAAAACCTTTAAGTTTATAAATATCTTATGTTTTTACCTTAAATATGTTTTCCAAATTTGACATGAAAGTCTTTAAATTTGTCAAATTTTATTGGTTTCGTTATTACTAGTTAAAAAAAGTAACAATAAAATAAAATAAACAAACCTTCGACGAACAAAAAATCACACATAATAAAACCAACAAAATTATGGATTTTTATGGGGGAAAGAGACTTAATAAGGTAATTAACTTTTCGATTTGTTCACATCTGGGTAACTATCTTCTTTTTGTACACATCTAGGTAACAAACTTTTTGAAAGTATTCACATATGACCATTATGACCGGCTGTAGCAGGTTACATCTGGTCATAACCAGTCATAATGATCATATGTGAACACTTCCAAAAAGTTCGTTACATAGATATGTACAAAAAAAAAATAGTTACCCAGATATGAACAAACCGAAAAGGCAAAAGTAAAATACACGAATGGTCCCTGTAATTTGGGTAATTTGTGCGTTTGGTTCATAACTTATTTTTTTAACTTGGATGATCCCTACTATTTATTTTTGTTGTGCATTTGGTCCATGTCCTACCTCAAAAGATTATTGTGCAGTTTTAATTTATTTATTAATTTTTTTTCTTATTTATGTATTTATTTTTTATATATTAAAAAAATTTAATATACCCCACATATCTGCATCTCCTCATCTTAAACCTGAAAACATATTTGAGAAACTTAAATTGGGTCCCACTAGTCACCATCCTATCTCTCGTCATCCTTAACTTCTATTTCGTTTCCATCTTTAGTGATATTGACGTCTTCATCATCCTTTATTTTTTTCGGTCTTTCAACTTTGACGAACCAACCCACAACCCATTATCTCTTCATTGAATTTTCCACCACCACAACCCAATACAGGGTGATGATGTTGGTTCGCCGGAGTTGAAGGACCGAAAAAAAAGCGATGGTAAAGACGTTGATATCATTAAACATGGAAATGAAAGAGAAGTTGAGGAGGATGACAAATAGAATGGTGACTCGTTGGATCAAGCTTAAATTTCTCGAATGTGGTTTCAGGTTTAGCGTGAGGAGATACAAATATGTGGAGTCTATTATTTTTTTAAAATATATAAAAATAAATACATAAATAAGAAAATTAATTAAAAAATGACACAATAGTCTTTTGAGGTAAGACAAGTACCAAACGTACAACAAAAATAAACAGTAGGGATCATCCAAGTTAAAAAATAAGTCGGGGACCAAACGCACAAATTACCCAAACTATAGGGACCATTCGTGTACTCTTACATTTTCGGTTTGTTCACATCTGGGTAACTATCTTTTTTTTTTGTACACATCTAGGTAACGAACTTTTTGAAAGTGTTCACATATGACTATTATGACCGACTACAGCCGGTCATAATGGTCATATGTGAACACTTCCAAAAAGTTCGTTACCTAAATGTGTAAAAAAAAAAAGATAGTTACCCAGATCTAAACAAACTGAAAAGTTAATTACCTTATTAATTCAATTTCCCGATTTTTATGTCTAACATCCCTCCAAAATAACGATAAAAATGACTATAAACAAATCCAAATATTTTTTAAAAAGAGTTTATTAATCTAAAGCTTTTGACACCACATAATCTAAACTTTTAAGTCTTTTTTATCATCAAATATGCTAATAAAAGTTTTTATCAAAAAATGTTTATTAAAGTCCAAACACCCATTTAAAGATGCTAGGGCTTGAATTTCATCACTTTCAAAATTTCAGCGTTTCTCCCGCCCTGAAGCAACTTTGAAATACATTCGAAAGATCACCATTTCTCTTTAGTCGATCAACCCGTACCAAGGTATCCTCTTTACTTCTAGTTTCTACTTGATAATTTCGTTTTGTTCGTTTCGAATTTGCTTTTAAGGGTTTCGTTTTTTCCTCCTATTTTAGATTTTTTGTCAGTAGTTAGAACGAGGATTCTGGTGTTAGAAACGAATCGCCAAAAGTTAAATTGTGCGACTAAAATGGATGAGCATCTGAAGTAAACATGTTATAATATCATTGACACCTTAAACGAACAAAGCTCCTCATTCCAAAAAGAAAGAAAAAAAAATCTAAAAATCTACCTAGATTGTGGTGTCTTGAGGACGAAGTGATTCAGCAAAATCAATTTGGCGATTCATCTATACAAATCACACAAAAAAAGATTCTTACATGAACATGTTGAAACATCTTCAATTCTATAGTTATTTTCATCTTTTGCTAATGCCTAATTGTGTCTGATTCTTAAAACCATGACATGTTATTTCATCAATGGGTACTAATTTAATATACCCATGATGTGTAAATTATTCATATTTCTCAGAAAGAACTTTGTGGCTTGTGCTGCAGGATCATTATTTAAACTTGCGCAAATAAAGAGAGAAAAAAAATGTCAAATCAACTCATTCAACAGCGATTGATCATTCAGAATGAGAATTCAAACATCATCCCAAAGAGTATATATACTCTTCTTTCTCTTCTCATTATGTTCCTTAATATTGATTAAAGTTGATTTTGTTTCAGAGACGATGATGATTTCTGAAGAAAAAAAGAAATCAAAGTTGGGTTTAGGGAAAGGAAGTCGTAAAGCACTTAATGACATCACAAATAAACCCAAAATCCATCAACATCAAGAAGCATCAACTAAGAAAAAGAATTCACAAAAAGAAAAGGAAGAGTTTAATATTGCAGAAGAAAGGTTTTTGCATGACCACAATAAGTGTATTCAGGCACAACAAACAATTACTGAATCAATGTTTTGGGACATTGTTCTTCCAGGACATTATGGTAAATTTCTTCTACCCTTATATCCATTGAATCGATATCATGTAAAAAAGCATCACATTCTCATTTTTTTTTTCAGGGAATTTGCCATTAGAAGCTCATTTGTCCGATCCTTTAAAGGTTCTCAATATCTTCTGTTGGAAAACAATTATGCGAAGGTTTAATGTAAATATCTGACTGGATTCTTGTTTTTTTTTTTTTTTTTTAATATTCCTTTCCGGTGATGCAGATTGACCATTATACCCCTGTGGAGTTGGAAATGTCAGAATTCTGTGATTGGATGGAGTTGGGACCTCCATCGGAATCTCCATTGCATTTGGAATCTACTCCATGCTCTCCTTGTGCTTGGGATTTTGAAGAGGTTGAATTCTTTTTGAAGCCGGAAATTGATATTTAAAACAGCCAAAACCATTATTTCATTATATATGATTATTTAGAGAATATTAATATAGTTGTATGTACTTTTGTTGCCCAAATTACTTCAGCACCAGTTTGCAAAGTACACTAACGAGAATTATGTAAATGTTTGTGGATCAGTTGCACACAACAACAAACGGATTTTGTATATTTTACAAAACAAATCATTATTTCCTTATAGTTTTAAAAAATTGTCAATTTGTGACACTGCAATTCAAATTTTGGACATTTTAGAGAGTTGCCCCACTTCTTTTCCTATTAGTTGGTTTGTAGGGAGAAGTTGGTATTAGCTTTTGTATACAAGTGTCATATTTTTCTAGGACGGGGGGTGTTTTTAGTAATAAAAAATATGTATACAGGGGCAGTTTGGTCACAACCAAGGGCAGATTCGTCTTTGTGCACGAGCATGTAAATGGTCTTGGATACTAACAGTTTCTGAACAACACCTTAATTGACTGTTAAAATCAGTCAATTCTAACAAAAAAAAACTGTATACAGGGGTAATTTGGTCATAAAAAAGATGTATGTGTGATTTGCCCAAAGCACCGTCAAATGTTAAAATCAGTCAATTTGACAAAATGGTAAACTTGGTTGGTGTTTTTTATACAAATATATAGTTAGACGGTGTTTTTTAAACAAACAATACTTTGATGGTCTTTTTTGAACGTTTTTAAAACTCTTATCCATATAAGTCATTTTCCCTGTTTATATTGTTACTAGTTGATGGATACTATATTTTTTTTTTTTTTACCTTTGAGATGTTAGTTTTCCTATTTTATTTATTTTACAATACATTTTCTAAGATATGTGTCAACATTTGGTTTTACGTTAGTTTTCTCTTATTTCCTATGTAAGAATCAATTTTTTTTCTTCGGTTTTGTATTATGTTGATGCGTATTTTTTTCTTTGGGTTTGTAATATCTTGATACCAATATGCATCAACAGTTATAACTTTTTATAAACACTATGGGTATTAACAATCTTTACTTGATTGTAAACACACCCGACTCATATAAACCAAATTTAACACAATTCTTCCTTAAGGCGCTCAATAGAAGGGGACAAACGCTAGGAAATAGAGCCTCCACTTTCCATCCAAATATAAAGTATAGAATGTACTAGAAGGATGCATTTGTTACTTATCAGACCATTTCTTGGGAACCATGACAAAATTCATGTCTTTTTATACAAGGTTGAGAAGGACATTCACTTTTCAGATGAGACATAAATTTACAATTTTTATCTGGTCCAATGCACGTCAAACGCAGTACAAAACAGGACTAACTATATGTGCAAAACTTGCAAAGAAACGGTTTTAGTGAGAAAGTTGTTGGAGTTTAGGCGTTAACACAAAAGCAAAAAGATTTATATGTTTGGTTGTTGAAAGGAAACATTACTCTTGTTATGAACATTATGTGATTATGAGAATGATATTACATATATGGAAGTACATTGTCATTTCTTGCGTGACAGAGCCGCCGCAACTCCACCAGCCAAAAGACCAACAGCCGTCGCAGCAATGCCTATGCCAATCACTCCATCTGCATCCCCACCATAATCAAAACAAACAATTCCACTTTCATTTATTTGGAAAATAATAAAATATTGTAATAGAAAGAAATGAAAATAAAAGTAGGTTGCTATTTCTTGCATTTCACCTAATAGAAATGATATTACCTTTCTTGATACGATCTTCAATTGATTTCTTGAGAGATATTGCCTGCCTCCATTCCGGTGCAATCTGCAATATCCACATTTTGCAGTGCATTAAGTTATTTGAGAAACTCACTTTTTTTTTTATTCTGGATTTTGCATTAAGCAATAAAAATAGCAATTGACTTGTTGAAAATTAAATATAAAATTATTTAATATTTATACCTCCAAGCAGCGATCAACAAGGTGTCTGCTCCTTGAGTAGTCCCCACTTCTATAATACCCAACAGCAAGCAGATACATTTTTTCTCTCATTTCCAAAGGGCTACTTGTGCTGCTTGCTAATGAACCTAACACACACACACATACACATACAAGATTTTGCAGATTACAATATCTTCATAAGAAATAATTTGAAAAGTAAAATCAAGAGAATTGGATCTTTTATTTTGGGGAAATGAAAAAGTTTGACTAAAAATGCAATATTTTCACCTTCAAGCATAGCTATCCCACGTTGCACATCTTCAGGTCGCTTTGAGTGAACAAGAGCCCATGACAAACGCAAAAGGCACTCACTTTTGAGTTCATTTGAAGAGCCTTTCTCAGCTTCAGCAACCTCACGCTCACAGCCCTAAATTGGAAAATTCAGATAATACGTATCATACCTAAAGCTCAAAAATTTTATCAATCTATTTATGTCTTCAAGCTTCGAATGAACTGATAACATGAAAAACTTCTACCAATTACAATCCCACACAAAACAATGATGGAATATAGGTATTTCATAGCATACAAATTAATATACAACTCAACACCGCTAGTTACTAGTTAGCATCTCATTTAATGATTTAATCATCATGTAACATCTTCATCCCAGATATTCTTACATTAAGGAAAAGCAAATAGATCCTTCAGACTTGGTAGCTAACGCGTTTCCAAGATCAAAAGGTAGAAAACCAAATTTTAATTCGACTTCACCCTAAACCTAGAACCTAGAACCACATAATTCGACATCATCGTTCCATTTCTCACAATTTTTAAAGAAATAAGAAGAAAGTAGCTCAAAATACTACCTAGAACGAGAATAAATCAAAACCACGCTATATAATAGCAACGAACAAGAAAGCACGCCGCTATCATCAACATACACGACTGCGAAAATAAGTTCGAAATTGAAGTACTCAAAGCACTTATTTTGTAGATCATAAACTATAAACTGAAACGAACTTCGAATAAAAAGAATTAGTAAAATAGTACTTACAACAACAATGTCGGATTCGCACCAGGGAATAGAATCACCGCCGGTGAAGAAGGTGCCCACCGACTCGAAGAACTTCCCGATCTTCGCATCCATGGATTTGTTTGCACGTATGAGCGTATGACACGATGATCCTCGAAGAAATATCTCGAAGAAGCTGTTCTACAAGTCGTGGGGGATCAAACTTATGGGTTAAGGGTCTTTGCCTTCTCTTGCAGCTCTTGCTATTTATGATTTCCTTTTATATCCAAGAAAAAAAAAAAACAATTATTTCTTTTATTCCAAGTTATCTATGCATAGCGTTGTTTATTTGCTTGGATTTTCATTTTGAAACCGACCGGACAAAGTAATTACACGGTACGCTAAGTTAGGTGCTGTTTGTTTTGTTGAAGTCAAAATGTCTGCAGTCTACGGACCACATTTGCAAGCCTCTGCGGCAGAAGAGGTGGACCAAATGTCTGCAGTCTGCAATAAGAAGACTGTTTGTTTTTAACGTCTGCGGACCGTTAAAATAAATTGAATTTTTAAACTTAATTTCATGTTATAAACATTAAAAATGTATTTTTAACAAAAAAATGAAAGAAAAAAAAACTACACGGTGGTCATGTTTTTTTTTTTTTTAAGGTTAAAATGAGATCTGAAGACCTTTGAAGACAGTGGCCCATGTCTGCGCCAGGAAGACCTCGCACAGACGTTTTCTGATCTGCGCACTTCCAAAAAACAAACAATCTGCGAGGGCATATGTCTGCGCGTTGTCTGCGCGGCGCAGACAAAAGTGGTTGCGCAGATCTTCACACAAAAAACAAACAGCCCCTTAATCTCTCTTCCTAATAAAAACCTCTTTAAGGTGTCACATGTCATTTTTATAAACCATTCATATGACACGTGGCATTTTCTCAGACTTTCTTACTTTTTTTTCCCGCTCATGTATATTCCTCCTCAATCGGATGTTTCAATCAATCCAAAAAATGTGGAATTAATCTTCAAAATCTTCAATCAAATCTTGCCCCAAATTTCGACCATTTGTCTCGCTCTACAATTTAATTTCAAAATCCCTTAGAACCTACTTTTTCTCCATCTCCATTGCTGCAACATTCAAGGCAAACCAGTTTTCGTGGCTGGCCCTTCCCTTCCCTTCACATTCACCGTAACCTCGATTCAGGTATGCTTCATGGTCAATAACCCTAAGTTACCATCTACGAACCTTGCTTCATCCTTATTGTTTATTTGAAATGAATCTGACATTAAAATTGAAATTTTGAAAACACTTTCATATTTTCTCTACAGATTTTGATTATTTGTTACATCCATTGATACATGTTAACTTTTCATTCATAATATCAACAAAGGACGATTTTTGAAAGAAAAAAGTGTTCGATTTCCTCTACAAATCAGGAACTATATGAGAAACTTAATAAGACAATATATCAATCAAATCGATTAATTAGGAATCATCGATCTTAACTTCATCTTTTTCATATCTTCCCTATCAGTCAATTCCTTACACGATATCTTTTCCTTCATTTTTTTTCGCTGATGAAGATTGATACAATAAATTGTAAAACAAAGAGAGCTAAATGTATACATCCGCTTCAAATTGACTTTGTTCCTGTTTTAGGTTTTACTACAACAACAAATCCGTAAATCAAAAGACAGAAAATGTTGACATCAACTCAAAACCTAATGGTATGTCGATTTTATTTATAGGTTTCAACTTTAAGATTCAAGTCATCATTTTCTGATGTATTACTATGGTAACCATTATGTCTCCAATTGTCACGATTTCAGTATTTCTTTACATCTAACCTTGCTCTTCTTTTTCAATACGTTGTTCATCCAAGTTTCTTCTTTATGTTATTATTATATTATATATTTTGTTTTCAACATTTGATTATCAATACTGGATGTATGGTATTTGATTGTGATAATCCAATGATATTCAAAAACCATTTGTACATGATTTGGTGATAGGAAAACTTGAATTTGATTTTGCACTCTATGTGTTTGATAAAATGCCCATGAGAAGTTGTTTTCTATATCAAAAAATTTTACACGGACTATTGTGTGCGTGTTTGTGTTACTTGCTTTGCTCCTTCATAAATTTCTAAAAAAATCCATGACTTTGTATTATTCTTTTATCTATCAAGTTTTAATGCAAGTAACTAGCATCGAAATTTCATGTAGAGAAAGTAACTTGGTGATTATCTTTTGTCGATAAATACAGTGAAGACATAAGCATATGTTGAATGATTAAAGAGTTTGAACTCCATCTCAAAATTTTGTGCATGTTTCTACTGGAAGATCACAACCGGTAGCTATCATGGCTGCTTCAACAATAATACATGTAAAGGTAACTTTTTTTTTCCCTTTTTATAATTTCTGAATTTAATAAATTTGTATCCATAAGCATCTATATAATTTTATAGTAAATTAACCATCTTTTAAAGTCTCTTATTATGTGATCATGTCATGGTGTTGTTCAAGGATTTGTTGTCACACATTGTAAAACGAATAGTAGCCACCATGTGTTAGAAAAAATGTCACAAACAATAAGTACATGATGATTGCATTGATTTTAATTTTAGAAGGTTTTCTATTTGATTAACCACCTTATTTGCCTATTATTCTTAAACAATGAGTTGTTGAAATATTTTAATTTATATATGTTGGAGTAACATCGTATAGAAGTTTGAATATGATATATTGAAACAGATTTATATTTGCAGTCATAATGGTTAGCTGGTGATTTGTTTCATGTTTTTGGGTTAAGAAGTTGTTTTTTAGATCTAAGAAACAATGGCGCATATGTATAATTTATAGATTGTAGCGCGATGGTTAATTTTATAGTAAATTTGGGAACTTGATGCTTTTTAGAATGAAAACTAAGATTAAGTTAATTCCAGCTTCGTAGTTGCTGACGAATAAATTATCTAATTAAGACTGGTTAAGCTACAAAAGCATCGATTGTTACGCTTCTATTTTATCCCATGATACCATCACTACTCACTTAATTGTTCGATTTTCTTTTAGTTAGGAGTAGATTGATTTTGACTTATTAACATACTATAGTGGAGAAATCCATAAGTTATTATTAGTTGTAGGCACTCAAACTTGAAATTATTTTCTGCTGCAGATTAGCTTTTTAACACATAATGTTGATTAGCATACTATACAGGGGAAGATGAACTGCTGGCATTAGCCTGTAACAAAAACGGTATATAATATATATGTTTGTAGAAACCTATTTTTGTATTAAGTTGTTATATGATAGTAACGTGGTTAAAAGAACAACTATAATTTTTTTTTTGGGTCTCACGCAATCATGTTTCTTATTACTCAAGCCGATTTCTATTTACAATTTTTTGGCTATTTAATTTAGCATTTTGTGTATGTATATACAATTCTTTGGCTATTTACTAAAATTGGTGGAAATCCAGATTTAGTCCCTACAGTTGTTTATGTTTTTTTTTCTCTTTATATATACTTAACCTGTTTATTAAAAGTCCTCATAGCACTTTACGACTTTGATGATATAGTGTTATTAGTTTATGGATTAATATGCAAATTACCATTCCACATTTTGATTTTCTTCAAGGGGTTTATCTTGATTGTTACATACACAACTTTGGCCTAAACAACGCCAATCAAATAGAGGTACACATCTACGTTTTTAAATTTGTTCAAGAGGTTTAAAAATAAGAATCTTACTTTATGTAATTTACGATTTTACACTTTCTTGTCTATAAATTTATTTATAATTAAGGAAAAAAAAGAAGCTCACAATACAAAAAATGACTCAATCTTATCAGGGAAACAAACATAGGTCGGACACCGTCAAATAAGGAAATAATATGAAATTTTGATTTTTCATATTATTCTCATTTTTTGAACTTTAAATTCCATACTATTCTCATTTTTTGAATTTTAAATTCTCATTTTTTTAATTTTAAACAAAGGATCGGACACCGTCAAGTACCAATGTCTTAGTTTCACATTATTCTTATTTAAGCATTGTACATTTTAAGTGCAATTTTGTAATTGTAGTTTCAGTTTACAAGTAACTTCTTAACATTAGAAAGTACAATGTTATTTTCAGTTTGTCTATGAAACTACAAGGCTACTTTTTGTTTTGCTTATGAAAACACAATCCAATTTCTGTTTTGCCCATGATACTACTTTTTTTTGTATACACATTGAACGCAAATGACCATTTTATCCTTTTTATTTTTTCATTAAAATTATACTAATTTTGGCTAATAACATCAATGTCAATTATATTGTTGTCTTTTTTTTAACTAAAACAAATTTACAACTAATAGCAATGTACTTTGAAAGTACATTGCTGTAATTTATGTAACTTCACATTATTTCATGTTTTTTTTTACAATCAAAGTTACACAATTTTTTTGTTGATATTTTATTTTATTTTATTGTCTATATAATGGTTATAAAAATAACAACCGTGGTTTCCACGGGTTATTTACAAATTTGACCACATATTTTGAATGTTACCCAAAATAATGAAGAGTTTTTTTCACTTTATTAAAACTATCACCCAATATGAAATGTGTGGTTTTGAACAATGAATACAAACTAGTGGTAACCGTCTAAAATATGGTACCCACTACATCTCAGAATTGGACTCTCTCATGGTGAGACGGCATATACTCATATGCAAATGAGATTTAAGTGTACGAGATAGGGTGTTCAACATGGGATATCAAATATTTTGTGTAGAATAATCGATAATATCAATGTTTTGTACAGAATGTTTGATCGAATTATCTACTGGATGTTAGGTATTGTCAACCGATCTAATCCAATCCAATTGATCATGTTCAACCGAACCAAATCAATCCAATTATATATTGAATATGATCAGTTTTATCCACTAGATATTTGTTATTGGTTATCTAGTTTTCAACAGGATTCGTTGTGGTTTTAGTTAATACTACAAGTAACGTAAGGTGTGACGTGGTGGAAATGTAAAGCCTCAAAACTTTATTAACTATGGCAAGTCATGGTGTTTGTTAATACACGACTTATGGCGGTAATTTTGTATATAATTAATAATTATATACATATTTTCTGCTATTATTCATTTTTATATACATAAATGACTTAAATGTGGTATTTTTCTCGATGTTTGATGTGTGGCGTCAGGCAAGCCTTGGAGCCATGGTAAAGACATGACGGACTTTTGAAAATCATACTTTTAGTACGTCCCTACATTGAAATGACTAACTTACCCTCATAATATTTTTTTATACTTTTTTCTATGTAATTAAAATTTTCC